GGTGGGGGGGGAGGGTGAGGATTCCTCACTGGGGAGAGGAGCCTAGCTGTGTGGCCTTTCGTGGGGGCCCGGGGAATGTGTGTGGTACATGTGTGTATGGGGGGGGGTGATACAGTATTGGCGGGAGAGGGCGTTTGTGTGTATGTATGTGTATGTGTATGTGTATGTATGTCCCGGGATCCGGTTGGTTGGTTGGTTGGTTGGTTGGTTTTCCCGGCCAATTCCTTCACCACGGGATTCGTCATTGCTCTGTCATTCCGCTTTCCCTTTAGGACTTGTAAGAGTTGTTCGTAAATTCATAAGGTGTACGCACTGACGTACAGACGCACATCCGGATGTTGCCTCCTTTTAACGCTCGCCCGTCTGCGGCGGCGTGCTACGGCAGATGGACGAGCTGCGCAAGGACCGGGAAGAGGATGACGTGGTCATGTCGTACGAGCTGGATGAGCGGCTGCAGGAGGAGCGTGCTGAGACCGGCAAGCAGCTAGATGCCATGAAGGCGCAGGTGGTGGGGGAGGGGGGCCCGTAGTAGGGCGGCGGCGGCAGCGGCGTAGGAGAACTCTTTGTGTGTGCCATGTAGGAATGCGTACATACATACGTACATACATACGTACATACGTACATACATAACCATTTTTCTTTCTACACCGTCATCCCCACCCATCCAGACGCCCTCAACACCGAACTATAACCCTAATTAACTCCCCAACAAAACCCCCAACAAAACCCCCAACAAAACCCCAACAGAAACCCCAACAAAAACCCCAACAAAAACCCCAACAAAAACTCCAACAAAAACTCCAACAAAAACCCCAACAAAAACCCCAACAAAAACCCCAACAAAACCCCAACAAAAACCCCAACAAAAACCCAACAAAAACCCAACTCCATGCAGCTGTCCAAGGAGATTGAGGCGGGAGAGGCGGCCCTGAAGAAGGCGGCTCGAGATGAGGCAGTGGCGGATCTGGAAAAGAAGATGCACATGGCGCTGGTGAGAACTCGCAGCTTGGGGAGGGGAGGTGGTGGTGGGGAACGAGAGGGGGGAAGGGGGAAGGGGAGGGGAGGGGAGGTGGTGGTGGGGAACGAGAGGTGGAGAGGGGAAGGGGATGTGGAGAGAGGATGTGTATGGTTGTATGTATGTATGCCGTGTGCGCGTCTGTGTGTGTATATGCACGGTGATATCCGACTTTCCGCATCTTAACCTGATCTCAGGGGGAATCCCTAGATGTCTGTGTGTGTGTGGGGGGGGGGCATGTGCCCTTGTGAAGGGGGCATTTGTGCATGCGTGCATTTGTGTGTTTTGCAAAATGTTTGTGTGCTAAGTGTATTTCACAGCGACCCATTCGGGTGTGCGCGTCCACGCCCTCAAGCACAGAGGCCCCCTTCTCCCCCCCCACCTGACCGGCCTTCTATGCCTCTTTACTCCACACAACATCACACAACATCAAATCACACGCACCCCACCCCACTCCACCCCACCCCACTCCGTTTCATCACCCCCATATGGCCGCCCCACCCGCCCCTCCCGTTCCTCCATGCGGGGCCACCCCCCCTCCCTCGCCCCCTCCCCTGCAGGACGTCTCCCTGGACCGCATTCGCGGGGAGCTGGCGGAGGACATCAAGCCCCTGCAGCAGGATGTGGAGAGACTCAAAGCGTCAGTCGGAGGGGGGGGAGGAGGGGGAGGAGGAGGGGGAGGAGGAGGGCAGAAGCGGTAGTAGCAGTAGCAGCAGCAGTAGCAGTAGCAGCAGTAGCAGCAGTAGCAGCAGTAGCAGTAGAGAAATGGGTGAACTGGGCATTTCGGAAAAGGAAGATGCAAAAAGGGTCCTCCGGGGTAATACCGGGTTGGCGGTTGGTAGTTGGCGGCTGCTCTCTGTTCTGTGTGTGTGTGTGTGTGTGTGTGTGTGTGTGTTTTTGTGTGTGTTGTGTTGTGTTGTGAAATGAGAAGTCATGTTGGGTTACGAGACAGGGCCCTATGTCGTACCCTGCAAGGTACGGCCTTGACCTCCAAGGCCACGACGACCTGACATGAGCTGCTGTTTGCTCGTTGTTGTGTTGTTGGTCCCGTGTGTTTGTTGGGCCGTAAGCCCCGTGCGTGCGAAATGTGCGCGGGAAGGAAAGCGAGGAATGGCGCGAGGAAGGGAAGGGAAGGAGGTAGTACTTGACACCAAGTTAGCGACCCCCAAGTAGCCCCCCAGTAGCCAACCACTCACCAACTGATTCAAGTGGCTCCTCCGCTCCGGAACGATCCGACGATCCGAATTCATTAAATCCTTCCGTACCTTCCGTACATTCAGCCAGTCAATCTGGATGCGAGTGGTGGATTCGTTAATGCTGTGATGCGCTGGGTTTTTTAGTGATGGTGATGGGGTGTGTGAGTGTGTGTGTATGTGTATGTGTATGTGTGTGTATGTGTGAGTGTGAGAGAGAGAGAGAAAATCGAATGGACAGACAGACATGTAGACGGACAGATTCACTGATGGGATTCTATCGCCTTGCGTGTGGGCCGCTGCTTGGCTTGGCTTAGTGAGGGAGGTGAGGGGGGTGAGGTGAGGTGAGGGGGGTGAGGTGATGGAATGAACGGCGTTGTTGTGGGTTCAGGGTGTGTAGCAGCGGCGATCAGGTCCCGGGACCCAGGGGCGCCCGGGCAGGGGCACCATCTGGCGGTCAGTTGGCCCCCAGGAGGGGGGAGCCTTCTCATGGCAGCCTGCTTGCTGCTCTGCTTGCTGGTCTCTGTCTGATGTCGATCAGGTCGGCGACATTTAGATGTACGATTTATACGACAGTCATGCGTCACGTGTTCACACGTGTGTGTGTGTGTGTGTGTGTGTATGCGGTGCGTGCCTGCGCACGTGCCGCATGGCGCCAACATCGATTGACCAACAACAACACCAAAACATGTTTATGAATGTATGTATGTGATCAACGTGCAAATATGTATGCCTGTATGTCTGTGCCTATGTCTGTATCTCTTGACTGTTATAAAGGTAATACTCCCTAACATGAAACCGGCTATAGCCCCTTTGAGTGACCGATATGCCGTACTGCAGCTGTCGCCGCGCGCGCCAAGGTGTTACGACGTGTTTTTCTTGCCGTGCAGTACGGCAAGGACACTATTTTGTTTTATGCATGCGTGCTTTATTGCTATTCTGGAAGATGGACGGAAAAGGGTGGACCGAGTCGGTTGGCGTAGTTGTTAAACACAGGGTACTTGTACGAGCTTGGACTGAATGCCGTACTTCTGCGCAAAATGATGTTCGAGCATGACGAATAACTCAATGGTGCAAGTTGCCGTCCAAGGGATATTCCCCCCTCTGTAATCAGCTGCGGGCGTATATGCTCGGGTAGATATTTTGGCGAAGAGCGTACGGATGTCGTACCTTTTCCGCGTTGATGCATGTCGTGCCTTTTCCGTGTTGATGAGTGTCGTACCTCCTTTGTGTCTGCGGATGCGGGTGAGTATGACGGAGTGAGTGGGCATGGATGCAGTGCTTGTGTGCGTGCGTACACTCCCTTGTTCGCGCATGCGGCGGTCAACATCGCTCGGGTGCATATGTGTGAATACTCCCGCCTGTTGTAGGTTAAGGGATGTATGAATAGAAGCAGCTTACACGATAGATTATGCGTCGAAATGAGCAGCTGCAAGAAGGTAGGTTAAGGCTGTGCAGAAGCCCTTTAACATGTGAATGTCCAAAAAACAGATAGCATCCACACACAGGCGCGCTGTCACAAACACGATCACTATTTTTCTCAGACTGCATTGTTAATGCGATGATAACAGCTGCTACCATGCACAGTCGGCGGGGGCGTCCCCACGATTGATGAAAGGTGCGGCGGAGGAAAGCACAAAAGTTACGGCTTGATAAAAAGTGACTCCGGATATATCGAGTGCGTCCGCATAATGCCGCAGTCCCCCAGCAAAACGTTTTCGTCGCTTGACTAGCTGAGGTTTCAATAGACCGAGGTCGTCAGCCAAATTCTGCATTCTAATTTATAGCAGCTTATTGAAAAAATATATATTTCTAATGCAAAATAACGAAACAGAACTCGTTAATGGCTGTTGGATACTGGGGCACTGAACACCGGACAGCTTCAGCACTGTTGCGTGGTACGCGCAAGGATGCGTTTCAGGTTCTCTGCTGAGTATGCTTAGCGATACAACTGGTTTTTAATTCTATGACCATCGGCGAGGCATCCATCTACTGAATAAAGCATAAAAGAAACAGTTAGTAAGCAGAGCACGAGTGGCTCGAGCGCGAATGCGCACAAAATGTTGACAATATGATGCAAGGCCAGGCGCGAGCTTTATCAGGTAGTCTGACCGGCGGTTGCACTGTGGGACAGTGTGCGCCTCGGGGGCCGGAGCTGTGTTAGTGGTTGCGCCTAGTGGTTAATGTCGTTGATCAAACAATGGTACGGCCCCAGCATAAATGCTGGCTTGATGCAGGCCAGACGTCTACAGTACCAACAAACTATATATGGGGTCTCGAGCGCTGAAAGAGCACACGACATCCGCACAAAGGAGGAAAATAGCCTCCTGCAACACGCACGGTAGAGTGGCCTGCAGAACGGCACAGAGCGCCGAAGGAGCGGCGAACATTTTCGGCTGGAGGCTGTCGGTGGTCATGCCACCTTGGGGATCACCCGCAACCATGTATATACTGATGGAGTTCGGCTTACGCAATCACCCGGAGCCCCAACAGCTAGATGAGAACGCCAAGATCCACAGGAAAGTCATGTATTCATAAGTGGCTCGTATCCATAAACGCAAGCGGGAAGCCAAGGATGCCACGGCTGCGAAGTCGCTCCAAATCCTTGTCGCTCGTCCATCAGTGCACGAGCGGCAACTCAATCGCATTCCAGGTCGTCTCAATCTACAGCTACTTCAAAGCCTTTTTCAAGTAAAAATGCAGGAGTCTTTAAGGAAGCAGGCTAGCTTTGTGCGCATCCAGCTACGCTCAACCTACTCGATAGGCGCCGAACGAACTCAGGAACTGCACTGATACAATCAGTTACCACATCTTGGCTATCTATTTGTAAGCTCTGTACATTTTTCCTCAAAAACGGCGTCAGAGCTTTTGGACGCAAGCGGATGTTAGCAGATGGTGGCCTCCTTTTACTTGGTTTCGCTGGTGGTGCTTCTGCTTACATCTTCTGCTCAAACAGCAAGTATGTGGCGTAACTACCACGAGGACCAATCCAAGTATCGGTCTTGCCTTACTACGCGACTGCGTCCCTTAAGAAACTGGCGGGTCTACTGAAGCCACCCCTGAAACTTTCTCGCGTCGACTGAACCTCACAGGAAAAGAAAGGATGTTCCTTTTACTCTTCCTGCTGTACTCTTTCTTCTACTGCTGTAACCCTCGGCAAAGCCTCGCAACCTTCAGCAACACTTTGCAACTATGCCCGTTACGCACAAATATCCCCCCCTTGGGCGCCTGAATCCGTGCCGAGATGGCCACATACGGGATGCCCGGAGAATGCAAACCTGACTGTAACTATCGGCGAACCTGGCAGCTGTGGCCACCTGGCTGCACCGCGCATTCCATTTCCTCATAGGAAAAAATCCATTGCCAACCATTGCCTTTGAAGCGGCTAAGCTGCTTACCTTCACCACTCATGAACCAACGTACGTAAACGCATAAAAAATGCAGAAACATACGTAACCATAGATACACATGCGCATGCACACGCGCACACAGGTATTCCCAGCCACTTAGCAACTTAAGCTGACTTCAGAATCATGGGCCCCCCTACACTGCCGCCGCTTGCTTAGTACTTCCCAACACGTATGTCTCCCGCCTGGCTCCCTAACCAGCTCCCCATCCACGCATAAATCGATGAGTGCACTGACATGCACGGCTAATTTTCTTCGCACGCTGCTCGCCTCCATGCACCGCCCGCCGGTCAACCAATGCCGGTCAACCCAAGCACCCAACACAGCGATCGCCGCAGCGACCGCCACAGCGGCGGCGGCCGCAGCGGCGGAAGGCTCCGCCTGTCCCAGCTTGCTCCTACGAGGCACCTACGACGCAGTTCTCCTCAGCGCGCATGAAGTCGTGTCCGTGAGACATCCGTGGGCAGGTGCAGGAGAAGCAGCAGCATCTCCATCTCCCGATGGCCGCATTCGGAGCTCCTATGCGGCTGCAGCGACCCGTGACTACAGCAGCAACAGCAATCCCAGCAGCGGCAGCAGCAGCAGATCTAGCACAACTACTACTGCTACTACTGCCAGCAGCAGCAACAACAACAGCAAGGATGATGATGGAAACAAACGTGGTCGTGGCAGCCATGGCGATGATGGCAGCGGCAGCACCGTAGCAGCGGGTACATCTACTACGACTACTTCTACACGTGAGATGTCCGAGGAGGAGAAGCCCCTTTCCGCGGAGGGTTTGTTTCTGTACCTGCGCCCAACCTACCTGGTGCTGGGCTGCGACCCTGCGAGCGGTACCTCGCAGTACGTCGTACGGGTGCAGGTACGGGACTGCGACAAGTTCCTGGGGCTAACCACCCCGGCCAGCCCGGAGGCCTGTGTGGAGAGCGCGGGGTGCACCAGGTGGGGTTTCTGGGTACGTACATACGTATGTGCAGGGCATACCTATTTTGTACCGGCTGTAGTATGTACGTATGTATGTATGCACATAGCAAATTCTGGTGGGACACGTACCATACTGTATTTATCATTAGTTTAGTGCTACTTCTAGGGGCAGTCCGTGAAACTCTAAAGATTGCAGTTGTACTCTTTTTCTTGATGGGCGGCCCCGGGATCGATACCGACTGATTTGCGGTTTTACGCACTTCATCCTGTGAAGCCGAAGTAATCTAACTAACTTAGTAGGTACAAAGCCTTATTGGTAATAAAAATATATATTTCTTACGAAGTGCCCTTCCCACCATCATCCCGTCATCTCCATCATCACCGCCTACCTGTCGCACCTCCCGCTTCGCCTGTGTCTTAAATCATACTGAACCGCACCCAGACACCCTGCCGCCACACCCCCCTGGGGGGTTCCCTTGGGGTCTGGGCCTCGTTGTAACACCTATACTGCTACGCCCCCTGCCTTCGCAACCCCCGCCCCCAGGCTCCCCTCACAGTGCCCTCGGAACTGTCTTCACGAGCTGCTGGAGGCCTCCGAGGCCTCTTTCCATCTGGACTCTGAGGGCGCAATAGCCTCCCTGGAGGTACGACTGCAGCAGAATGAGCACGCGGGCAGTGGTGCAAGTGGCGGCAGTAGCGGTGGCAGTAGCGGTGGCAGTAGCGAAAAGGAAAGGGGGCTGGACGGTGGCAGCAGCAGCGGCGACTTGCTAACGTTGGCAGCTACGTGTGTGGCATCGTCCGCCGAGGGTTTGTCGGAGTCAGGAAGGCAGGCGCCGCAGCAGGGGGGTTATACCCGCGCTGATGGCACCGCAGGCGCCGACGCGGAGCATCAGCAGCATCAGCAGCAGCGGGCGCAACGACGGCTGGCATCCCTACAAGGGATTTTCGAGCTGCTGTCCCAGCAGGCGCACAACAGGTGGGATGGAGCTGGGGTAGAAGGGGGGTACATATCTCTCTCTCTGCATAGGTGATGGTGACGGAAGGCTCCTATGATGGCCTGTTAGGGCTACTGGTGACCTTGCTTTTACCGGCCGGCCTGGCAACATGCTGATAGTAGTAGCCAAAACAGGCCATCAAGATTGTGCTGGCGCTCGTGTTATCACGAATGATACAGATATGAAGTGGTTAAACAGTTGGGGGTCTAACCATCGTCGTACACTGCCGTATGTACGTAGTCCATCCGGTTTCAATGCAGGCATGAATGGAATGTTGCTGCTCGGTGCAATGGGGACGGGGAAGAGCGAGTCACATCCCATCCAACGAGTTGGGCGGGGTATCCACTCGAAGCTATCGGGGGCACAATCGCATAACAACCCGTCAGATCTGGCTGGCGTATCAGAATCCGAGAATTATATATGTCGTTCAATGCGGTCCATGCGCCAGCAGTTACATAATTTTGCCGTACATGCTGCATTCATGTGCCGGAATTGTACTGCAGGCGTAGCAATGTTTCAGAGGAGCTTCTTGTGGCGACCACTGCCGTACACCGCGACACAGATACCGATACCACGACGGCGGCGACGACGACGGCGGCGGAGGCGGCGGAGGCGGAAGCCCAGGGGGCTAGGAAGGGAGGCAACGCCGGCGGTGGCGCCAGCGCCAGCGGCAGCCATCAAACAACTGATCGCGCACCGGCGCAGGGACTCTACTCCTTCAACTCCGAAACCACCGTACATCCCCCGGCTAGCGATGGTAGCCAGCTAGTGATACAGCGCAAGTTCCTGGTGCCAACAGATGAGGCGTACGACAACATGCCGTACGGCATCATGGATTTCCCTGCTGGTACGACGGTGTACGAGCCTTGTACACTTCACATGTCCCTCCGCTAGGAACATGTCTGCATCACCTGTGTGTCTACCCCATCCTAATTTGCATGACGCTCTTCAATGGCTGAAAGTCTGTCTGTCTGTCTGTGTGTTTCTCAAAATCTGTGTCCACGACCTGGGCTGGGGGTCAGAGAGGGACCCGACCAGGTGCTCCGGGGACTCCTCACTTTCTACATCCATCCCCCTACATGTACGACAAACATCCGCAGGCGGCATCTCCCATACCCTGCTTTCCCCGACGGGTGTGATCACCTCCCGCGTGGACATGGCGGTTTCGGAGCGGGTCATCCCCGGGGTGGAATCACGTCGTAGTCCGCGGTCAAACGCCCAGGCTGGTGCCGCAGACGACGCGCCGGAGGTGGAACCGGAAGCGACAGCTGCAGCAGCCGCCACCGTCATGCGTGTACGGGTAGTGCTGACGCTGTCCAAGGCTCCATTTCTGGAGTCGAAGGACGATGTCTTCAGCTGCAAAGCACACGCCGCTGCGTCCGCCGCCGCCCATGTCGCCGACGTCGCCGCCGCAGCCGCCGTGCAAAGTCGCTTTACTGCCAGCCGCCGCCGCCGCCGCTGCCGTTCAAGGGTGCTGCTTTCCGAATCCGAGCCGGGGGCTGATGATGATGGCGACAGCAGCGTCGCCGCCGCCGCCGCCGCCACCACCGCCGCCGCCGTGAATGCCGCTGAGGTTATGTTTTTGAACGTTGATGGGTTATACCCGGGCGGCAGTTCAGCGGCTTACTTGCTGGATTGGAAAGACAAACTGGCCGCCAACAGTCACCGCCGTCACCGCCGTCGTCACCTGCTGCTCCGGAACCTGAACTGGAACCCGAACAAGAACCGGGACAGGACCAGCGAGTTTCATCCGACATTTAAAAAAAAGGGGGGCCATGAGGATGTCAGCCGGCGAGCGGGCGATGACCTCGGGGTTGCCGCCTTATCTCGTAGACGGCAGATGGTGGAGCTTGATAGCGAGGAGGTGTATCGCGCCTTCCGGTCCATGTTCGTCAATGGAATGCCGCTGGGAGTGGAGGTAGCGGCCTACCGGCTCTCCGGCGTGGATCGGAACTACCGGCAGGCTGAGGTGAGGGAGCGAACCTGTGTATGTGTGCTGCGGGGTTGGGTCGGTGTCTCTGCGTGCTTGTGTGTGTGTGTGTCTCTGTGTGTGTGTCTCTGTCTGTGCGTGTCTGTCTGTCTGTCTGTCTGTGTGTCTGTGCGTGTGTGTGGGTGGCTTGTCTCTCTATGTGTGCGTGTGTGTGCATGTGTTACGTATCGATCCGGGCATGACACTGGCCAGGGGCACCTAACCGTACCCCAACGGGAACGACCGCCGAAGCACTCTCCTCCTTGTGGGGGGGGAGGGACGTGAGGACCACTATCCCCTCCTGCTCGACGGAGGGCGTGCAACCCCGCGTTTCCCCTTTTTGTCAAGAGGAAAGAGAGCGAGGTGGTGTGCGCGCTCGTGTGTGTGTGTGTGTGTGCGCGCATGGCTGGGTCGGCCCGTGCGTCTGTTATGTGTGTTGTAACCCCAAGCTCCTGTCGTACTGCTGCCTACGGCACGTAATAATCCATCCGGCACGCAACCCCCACATCCCCCACTCAACCCCCCACCGCCGCCGCAGGTCACTGGCGGGATGCAGATGAGCTACAACGTCAACCTATTCGGAAACTGGTACCCGAATGTGTCGTACATGGACGTGTTTGGTACGGCAGGTACGGCCCTTGTCTTGCTACGTTCGCACTACTGTTCATGTATTTGTACTGGTATTGTAGCGCTTTGTAGTAGCCGGTCGCTGATGATGGTGATGATGATGATGATGATGATGATGCTGGCAGAGCGCCTAAGCGCCTACATATATAGACGATATGTGTGGCGTAAGACAGCTACTACATTCTGCACCCTTTCGAAGGGATACACCTCGAGCCCTTGCGGCCTCATACACCGCCAGCACGTTGCCTGCACCCCCTCCAGGCGGGAGGGGCTCACTGTACCCCCTCCAGGTGTGGGGGGGTCACTGATCAGTCATCGTCGCATCAAGAGCCCGCTCTTATCCACCTCTGCCCGTCTTTCGTTCTTTTTTCAGTCAACTATCGCAACTAGGGATTTTAATCACGATCGTCATCGTACTGTACGACAACTACTAAAACACGTTACCGAGCATATTGCGGTTCTCATCAGCTCACCGGCTCCTTCTCTCCTCCTTGTCCTACGTCGACTTACCCACAGATGTGCGCGTAAGAGGCTCTTCGAGTGGTTTCAGCTCTGTCGTCCATTTCTCCTGACGACTAATTTCAAATAAGATACTCACAAACTACTCATTATTACTACTAATTATACATTATTCACTCGTACCTACCCAACGTACCTGGTTTCGTACGGCACCCTGGACACCTGATTTCGTACGGCGCCCCGGGGGTGTTGTCTGTCTTTCCAGGCTTTGGTCGCACCAACAACGGCACCTACTTCAACACAGCGAGCTTTCTGACACGCCAGCTAGCTATGAGCGACGAAGTCAAGCTGGCCAACGGTACGGAGAGCTTTTACAACTCCCGACCTGACTGCTCTGATTTCGAGGTATGTATGTATGTATGTATGTTGTTACAGGGTGGTTAACTTCGCCAGCGGCCCCCTTTCCCGAGGCAGTCCCTGCTCTCCCCTGCGAGAGGGGCACCCTAATCCATTCACCCCATCCGATTTCAGAATGTATTCGTTGGGTTCGGCAACTCACCACCAGCATCCAACCAAATCTAGCGGATCAACGGCGCATCAACTTAGATCCTGGTCAGCTCGCAAGTTGATATAATCACGTTCTACACCGTCCACAAGAAGTAGGC